AATAAAATTTATGAATAAAAATGGGTTAAATAAATAAAGTAACAACTTACCAAAGGTCAAATAAGGATTGTAAGCACCATCAGGATAAATGGAATTGATATATCTTTGCCAAGTATTTGATGTAAAGAATAAAATAAGGAAACCATTTGAAAACATCCATGTAAGTACTAAATTTGTTCTAAATAATTTATAATAATCATCCTTTTTCGTAGAACTATCCCGATGTTGTCTTTCTTCGTGAACTACAACTTTTAACTCACTCGTAATCTTATCATATGCAGCATTGATATCGGCTCTTTCAGTGGGAATTTCGACTTTAAACACTTGTTTACCATCTTTCCCTTTCACTGCCTGTGCACCACCTAAATTTCCGGAATTACCATTATCACCCTTTGTACCCCATGAAACGTCATGGGTATTGCAGAAAGCATAAACCATGAGAATATTGACATAGAAAGGAACAAGTAAAATATATTGTAATAAACAAGTAAACATGTGCCAGGGTTCACCATGAATGAAGGACGTAACGAAATATAAACCATAAGTTGAACAAATGGAGATTACGATATCACGGAAAGCAGCCCTTTTTAAAGCAGCTTGGATGCTCGAGAAACTCTTGAAATTAATTGGAGGACTTGCTTTGTATACAGCAAGATATACAGTATAAAATGCACAATAAAGCATAGTTGCCATAATAATAGCAAAAAGGATTATGCAAAGTGTATATATAAACTTGGAACCTTGAGGACGATTACCCATTGAAGAAATGAAGATCGTTATAATGACCATCAGATATAACGATCGTACAGCATCAAATAGCTCGCTTCCAAAACCTCGGAAAGGATCAGTTTCTGGATTTGAAGTGGTGGATTGAGTAAGAAAGAAGAAAGCCAAGAAGAAATTGCCCTATTTATAATGTTAAATATTAATTTTATAATGTTAAATATTAATATGATATTATAAACTATAAAAGTTTTATACAGATCAACTATAAAAGTTTTTATACAGAAAACTTACCAAGGCGAACCAATTAAATAATAATTGAATGGCATTATAAATGAATTCAACTTGTAACATTAACATGCGGTAAAATGGTTGACCAGAAGTCCAGATACGTGTAAAGTTGGCAACAGAGTAGAAAGCAGCAAAGAAAGAACCATTTAACCAACGACGACGTTGAGAAATAAATTCAGGTATAGTATCTGGGACATCAGTTTCTGCTTTAGCAGACTAAAATATTTATATAGATATTATATTAGATATAAAATAATAAACACATAAATAATGGTTGACTAGATTATATACCTTGACATATTTCAATTTCCATGATTCATATTTTTTAGCGACTAATTCGAAACATAGAATACGATCTTCAGCCAAGTACATGTTTGCTTCAAAGATACCGGCACTAGCAGCACCTGAACCGTGCATAGTTTCACCTTTAAAGTAAGATGCTAGAGGACCTTTACCGGGGGAAGTATTTTGCAAAGCTTTATATCGATAAGCAGAGAAAGCACCTGGCAAAACGGAAATGTAACCAAAAACAGATTCTAATGGTTTATCTAAAATATTGGACATTTTATATTCAAAGTTTTGAGATGCAACCAAAGGATTCATAAGATTCCTCCATCCTGCTCCAAGTTCTGCTTTTATTTCACCACAAGCACCACCGACATAAGGATCACGGTCAAAAGCTTTAAACAGATAAATAAACCAAAAAGAATAAAATAAATAAATAAATAAAAAATAAAATAAATAGAATAATAAAAATAAATATAATAAAATAAAATGATAAAATAAAATGATAAAATAAATATAATAAAATAAAATGATAAAATAATGAAATAAGAATTGTTAAACCGAATTGTTGAATTATTAAATGCATACCTTTCCATAGATGATAAATTGAAGTATGAGAAGGTTTTGTACCAACATCAAGCAAAACGCAGACATTTGGATTCAATTGAGCAGCAAAAGCATTGAAAAACCAACGATGAGAATTTAATTTTTTAGCATTCTTTTCTTTTAAACAAAATAAGACTTGAACTGGAGGAACATTTTTGTCCTGTCCACGAATATTGCATTCACTATCAACCATTAATTGAGTGGTGTATTCAAAAAGATGCGCAGTTACAGGTTTTCCATCAACATTATCTTGCATTATTCCATCTTGATAAACACCCATAGCACCCAAAACATTCAAGGTTCGTTGATTGATCTTATTACGACCATCAGATACAATTACTACGACTACTTTTTGCCAACCTTCACGTCCCCATGTTTTAGATTTTGTTCTTGAACAAAGATGAGCGACATTTTTGATAGCAGAAGACATTGTTTTGATAAAAAGTCTATCATCTTCATTATACATGGTCATAACAATCATAAGTTCAGTTTTTCGACCATAAATGTGAGGTCGAAGAAGATATTTATTTTGAATAAAATCATCAGGATCGCACGTGACAGCAGTGTATCGCATAGTGCTAAATTCTTCACTGTCACTGTATTTGACATTACGAAGTACTTTGTCAGGTACTGGACAATCTAACACTAAATTTCCATGAGTAAGCTCGACATGACGAGCGGACTACAAGATTTTAATAAAATAATTTTATCAGTTTAAAGAAACCTTTGGGTGATAACATTATGTCACGTTCGCGTATTTTTCCTGATGAGTTTATTTAACATACCCTTCTTTTTTCATATTTGTCGTCATATACATGCTCGTATTCTCCACCAAAATTGTTAATATTTGGAACAATATTTTCATAACCAAAACCATTAGTTGGTTGCCTTCGAAGTTGGTTATGATCAATAGGAGGCGAGACTCTCTCATAACCTTGCTGATACGTAGTTTGCTGGTATCCTCGTTGTTGTGATGGCTGATATCCTTGTTGCGGTTGTTGAGGAAACTCATATTTTGGACTAACAGGTTGTTGATAACCGACTGGTGTAAGTTGTTGAGGATTCACCCCCGATCGGGGCGGGTTTCTTCCTTGCTGGGATTGATCGTAATAGTTAGGATAATAGTTATCCATTTTAAATGAAGTAGTTATGTATGATTAAAATGTTTTTTTAAAAGAATGTGTAAATGTGTGAATTTAGGTTTTTTTTTTTTTTTTTTTTTGATAATTCTTGCTATTTGTATGAATGTATCTGCCAGCAGAAATACTTAAGTAAATAATCTACAAAAAAAAAGGGGGGGGTCCTATGAACTCAACTTATACCAGTGGAAAACCTCTTCCCCGATGTTGAAAAGGATAATCAGTGAAGGAAATCGTAAAAGGATAGGTTCTTTTGTATGATATCGAGAATAACAAGCGTAGTACATTTTCGTGTTCTAATATGTGTAATAAATTGAAAAACGTGTTACAATTCAATTTTAATACGACCTAATTCGGAAATAAAAATATATTTTTTTAAGCATTATTTGTGTATTCAAATTGATCGACAGTATTGTATGTTTCATCTTAAATTACACTCATATTTTAATATTCTATGCGATGTTTAGTTCAAACATTAGTACTTAAGATGATAATTAACAACGATTCTCTACTAACATTTTTTTCTATTCTTTCAACAAGTCAACTCCTTTCTAAAAAAAAAAAAAAAATTAAAGCAAAAAAAAATACGCGCATGGCCTAAAAAGAACCAATTATATTGTTTGAAAAGCATAATGATTTTTTTTAATTAACAAGGACGTCCTATGTCCATTCGACTAATACTAAATGAATACGTATGTACGTAAAGAATTCATGCATATATAGTAATATCACGTTTATGTGCATAAATTCTTATAAATATATATTACAATTACAATTTAGGGTGTTAAAAATTTGTTTGGGATTATCATATCATTAAATGCGCAAGTAACGACAACAAGTATACGTATAAACATAAACATTAAAAAAAAAACCATATTTGTATAAATGCCGAGTACATCTATTTGTGCATTAATAATGCATATCATGATATAACTACCTTTTTGGTACTCCGATTAGTGAAATAGATAACCATATCGGCATGCCCAGTTTCATGACGTTTATTAACAATATCGATCGATTTTCATGCAATATGGGTAATAATTTCGGTCTGATTCATAAATAATCACCCATATGAGACATGAACTTACGTGCTCTATTCCTTAGAAGAAATCTTTCACCTGATTGGTTTTATTAACAAATTACTTTAACACTGATAAACTTGATCCACTGCTGATTAAAATTTGTCGATTTTCTGTTTGCTAAGTATTATCATCTGATTATAAATAACAAAAAGTATGGTGACGATGATTTATTCTTATTTAGATTTTATAATGATAAGTAGAATGTGCGCCTATCATTTTATCAAGTGAGAATTTTAAAAATAGCTTTCAGAGATAACATTCCTATAAATAAATGTGGCATTCAGTCTGCGCTTGATAAAATAGTTGGGCGTATGAACATTAGTGTATGACTCCATTTCTCATTCTTAAACATATTTTACATTGGGTTTTTATTGCACTCAAAAAGTCAAATCCTATAAATACATTAAAAAACATTACAATTAATCGTGTATAATTGTATATTAACATGAGATTATGTATCGTTAATGAAAGAGGATTTATATATTGTTTATTGAATTTGAAAATTGGAAAATGCTTCATGTGCTTTGGTACAATGAATTTTGTTAGTGTCAAGATCGATCGTATAACATAAGAAAGCCGCGTCCACCCTGTAAATTGAATTAAATATCAGATTTGATATCAGATTTGAAGGAATATATATATATATATATATGCAGTCTAAATATTGCAAAACTTACGTATCCTTCATAATGTATACAAAAAACTGTGAAATATAGTATGTAATAATGCCTGCTAAAATGCCAACAACATACCCATATTGTGATTGTAGTGAATGTGTGGCATATATAAATGTAGCAAACCCACAAAAGAGTGCGATCATTATAGTTCCAATAAAGAGGATGCACTTTGTTATAATGTCTAAAGAAATAAAATATAAGTGACTTCTGTACTATCAAAAATATTATATAAATGATACCATGCATGTGAAAAAGATTTATTACCATTAACTAATCCAAAGATAAGATTCCGTCGAAATAATTTGGTGCTAAACACAGCTGAAGAGCAGAAACTCTCTCCAGAAATTCCAACGCATATCATAGTATAATGATTTAGAACTCCTATTATTCCGTCAAGACACGAAAAACATGCTGTTATGTAGTAAAAAATCGAGTTACGTCTGAAATTCTATCAAACATAAATATAGTTATTATAATAGTTATAATTAAATAAATTAATATTGGTATGATGCTGAAATTTGAATGATCGTGAAAATTCTATTGACTGATCACCTTAACTAGTCAGTTGACTGATCACCTTAACTAATCAGATGCATTAATTTCGCGATCATCCCTGAAATTAATGACTAAAAATTTTCTTATTTGATATACCTTTTTAACAAATTCGTTTATATATTGTAAGACTCGAACGGTAGATAGAATTAGTCCGCCCAGGCATACTGTTCCCAATGAACTAGTAGTGGCCCTACTGAGTGCCAAGTCTGACGTATCTTGTGATGAATATTGTTCTATTTCATGTCTTAAGTGCAAAAATACGGTGCGTATAATAAGTAATTGTCCGACAAAAAATCAAAAGGTGCTACAGTATAACAAATAAAACATTTTAACAAACCTGTAGAAATACCAATCAGATACGACTCCAGCTAAGGTCACTCTAGATAGAGATTAAAAAACAACAAAGTTACATCAAAGTTACATCAAATTTATGCAAATTTTGAAAATAATATATCTTTAGAAAGACACTGACCTTTGAATATTGTATAATATAGCAGATGTCCATAGATACATAAATACAAAAAATACAAGTAAATGCGAATTCTGATAATACATCCACGTGCCTTTTATTCACAAGAATATAACATTTAGTAAAAATTTTTGCGTAAATCAAAATAACAATCAAAGAAAAGTCTTTATCCATTACTTGTCGCTGTTTGAACAGTATGGCCAAATAAAAATATTCGACTAAAAAATATCAACCATATTATTGTGAATAAAACATAAGCCCCCCAATATCATTAATGAAACTTTAAACACCCGACGGTTGGCATTTAGTATTTCACAAGCAAGCTAATATATTTATACAACGTTAGTTACTGTATTATGATTTTTGGTTCATAAAAAATATCTTTGCAAGTATGGACAAACCTCGATTATGCTTATTGTCTTGTTGACATTTTTTCTACGAGTATATAAAAATACAACTGATCCGAGAGAAATAAAGAATGGTATAAATGACAGAGTCAGGAGTCTGCAAAAAAAAGTATAATATAGTTTATTTATATGTTTATGCATGTTTATAAAATGATTGCTAATTTTTATTCAAACATACCAATTATCCTGTGGATCTGGTTTTCCAGATTCTCGAAGAGGCCCAGTTAAAGCTGTCGCAAAAGCCCAAATAAACATCGCAGCAAACACAAAAGGAACAGATATTAACATTCCCCATACTAAAGGCTAAAAATTAAAAGCATTATGCATTTTGCATCTTCGGATTCTAGGCAAATAAAAACTAATGTGCTTACCTGAACAAATGAGAGGATAACAAATAACCAAGCAATACTCGAGCATAAAGAAAATGTTATAGAAAAGAAAAGGGACACTGCAAAAAAAAAAAATTAAATTAAATTAAATTAAAATGTTATAACAGGATCTATAAAATAGGTGTAGTCAAGTCTTTAAAGTAAATGATCATACGTGAACTATCACGAATAACAAAAAACACTGATTTGTTAATAATGCTAGGATCTTGGAACGGAAATGACTATTTAAAATTTAGAATTGGTTAGGAATTATCTGTTAATCCATAGAGAAAAAACATTTCTTTGAAAGAATTACAACTTACACTAGTCGTGAATAATAAGGCGATGCCTGTTATGGTCATTGTTATCAACCCAATAATAAATAAAACAGCAAAAACTGGATCTTTAAATTTTCGATGTGAAAGGCCTGATAACAGAGGTGGTGGTATCTAAGAAAAGAGCGATTTATCGTATATACTTATATATTTCTTAATAATTTTTTTAAAAAAAAAAACTTACTGAAGACGAAGGAAGTAGTCCCTCGGACATAGTATTGTTGGAAATTCTAGTTGCGATCGCGGAAGGAATGTCACGATAGATCTCTGCCGCAGTCTACAATGTCAAAAATTTAAGTTTCCTGACAGTCAAATCACTGTAAAAGACGATACAACAATTTCTGACCTGTGTGGTTTGGTGAGTTGTTAATGGAACTGTTGTTAAGAATGCTGCATCAGGCTCAGATCCTTGATCTTGATACTCATCGTCGTCGTCATATTGACTGTAATGCACTCGCGAGGTTTGTAACGAAATAGATTCGCGAATCTCGGCCTCTGCTGGTAATGTAGGAACCGAATAAAACAATGATACCCCCGGTTCTTGAGACGAAACGGATGGAATAGACTCTCTATTTCTATTCAAAAAGTCTTTTGCGTATTGAGAAAACATGAGAAAAGCTGATCGATTATGTTTGGATAGCTTAATAGGTTCCTTTAAATGGGTAAACCGTAGTTGGCTCTCCTATATTCCACGTTCCTGCAGTTATTATTTTACAAAGTACGTATGTATCGGTATGGTATATACGTAATAAATATTAACTATTGTTACACGCTGTCAAAAAGTCACCGTGCGCAGTCACACGGCTTGTCACACGGCTTGTCACGCATTTTAATGTAACGGTAACTAAAATAAAATCTTTATCGGCTTTTAATCACCGAAATACTTAGCCACAATTCTTTTTAAGTAAGATAGATCCGACATAACGGGTAAGGTAATTTTTTTTATATATTAACGTTAAAAAGATTTAATACGTAGTAATTTTTTACGTTCTGAATTTTACTACGTATATTTGTCAAATACGCAGCAAATTTTTTTTAGTAAATTTCTTTCCTAAACTTTAATAAAAACTACAGATCCTCATGTGCAACATCTACAATCCTATTGGCCGATGATATGGAACTGGGTGAAACCCGTGTTGTAAATTAGTATTATAATGGAACTGGGTGAAACCCGTGTTACGTACATAGATCACGTTAGTTGGGAAATTGGACAAAAAACTGCGCCACATTTAGTTTTGGACATATGGGGTCTTTGCCTTGAAAATGACCTTACGGTACATGATACCGTAAGGTCATTTTCAAGGCAAAGACCCCAT